GAAACTCCTATCTTTAGTTCTGGGAAATTTCTTATATTGTTTCTTTAATGTTTTCTTCTCCATCATTTTCTGTTTTCTCTTTTTGGAACCCTTATTGCTTGAATGCTGGACCTCCAAGGTTGATCTTTGAATTTTCTCTTACTTTTGTTCCTATCGTCCCTCCCCCTCCCTTTCTCATTTTCTTCCTTTTAAGAGTGTATTCAACTTTCTCTTCCAATTCTTTTACTGAATATTTTATTTCTATTTTATATTTAATTTCCAAGAGCTCTTATATCCTCTGATTACTCATTTTTTATTTTGTTTTATAACATCCTGTTCTTTTTTCATGAGTGTAATGTAATCTCTTTTCTCTCTGAGTATTAAATATAGTTACTTTGAAATTTTTTCTGTCTTGACTTGTCTCTGTTTCTTTATACTTCTTTTCTGTTTTTCTTTCTGCCTTTCAGTTTGGATGCTTTTCACGAGTAACTAGTCATCTTTGGCCATCATTCATATTTAAGAGTGAGTCAATAAAATCTGCCTGTGTGCAAAGCCTGTCAGCTGCTGAGCTCTAGTTTTCTTCTTACTGGTGAGCCTAATGTGACAAGGAGGACCTTCTCGCTCTAGGGCTTTCTATGTATTTTCCCCTGGGCTGCCTATCCAGACCCTCCTTCATTTCTTTCTAGATTTGGAAGTTGTCTTCAGACATTTCAGAATATTGTCCCCTCTCTCACATTCTTTCTTTACGAAGTGCACACTCATGTATAGTGTAACAAAGTGTAGATCTTGGGGTTCTATTTTAGTTTAGTTACCAAGTGCAGAGATTGTAGCATGAGGTTGTGTCCCTCCCTTTGTTTGATAACTACAGGTGTTGTTTGTTGATTTATTTTGTACCTATTTTTTGTTCATTTTATTATTAGGGAAGAGAGTTTATGATCTGGGTTCATCTGTAATCTTATCCTGGAAGTCTCTTCCTACTTTTTGAACTCTGCATTTTTAGTGTCTGCAGAGCAGTAATATGGATGTGGAGTAATTTATGTAGCCAGTACTCTCATTGGATTTTACTTCGTTCCTCATTTTATGCAGTACAAATATTGCTATTGTGAGTATACTCTTACATACAACTTTGGCTGAGGTTGTTATTTCCTTAGGATAGAATCCTCAAAATGTAACTACTAGATGAAGGGATACAATCACTAAGGTCCTTACTATTTGTTTCTAAATTACTTGCCAAAGTGTTGAGCTGATTTATATATTCAATATCAGTCAATGTTGTTTATTTTAATTGAAAAAATAAAACAACTTTGCCAAGTGAAAAAGAAATCACATAATGTACATTTTAATTTGCATTTATGATTTCTCTCTCTCTCTCTCTGACCTGTTTTGGCAGTGAGTATGGACAGTACTTAGATATTTCTTACTGATCTATCCATGCTTGTTTAATGCCATCTTCTGGTTATTAAGCCTTTATCACGTTGCAAGTATTTTTATCTTGTCTTCCTTTTACTTTTGTTTGCTTTTTAATGTTTTTTTTTTTTTTTTTGGCTGAGGAAGACTGGCCCTGGGCTAACATCCGTGCCCATCTTCCTCCACTTTATATGGGATGCCGCCACAGCATGGCTTCCCAAGTGGTGTGTCGGTGCACGCCTGGGATCCGAACCGGTGAACCCCGGGCCACCGCAGCAGAGCGTGCGCACTTAACCACTTGCGCCAATGGGCCGGCCCTTTTTAATGTGTTTTTAATTTTTATGTGATTAAATGTATTAGTCTTTTCCTTTATGACTTCTTCTAATTTTTGTGCTTTGAAAGGCTTCCTTCATCCCAACATCAAGTAGAGTCACCATCTTTCCTGTAGTTCTTTTAGATTTTATTTTATAAATTTAACTCTTTAGTCCATTTATTTTTTTGTATAACATGAGGCAAAGAACCTGTTTTCTCTTTTTATAGTTAAACTCATTTTTCTGTTGTCATTTATTGTCATCAGATTTCCAGATGATTTGATAAGTTACCTTATCATATACCAAAATTTCCCATAATCAAGAGTCTGTTTCTAAGCTTTTAAATTCTGTTATGCTTATCTTTTTATTCCAGTGCAGTACATTTTTAAAAAAATGATTGTAGCTTTTTAATATGTTTTGCTTTCTGGTAATTCTAGTCCTTCAAAGTCTCCCAGGACTCCAGTCCTGAAGGCACTGGGAGGGAACTGTGAGGTGCCTAAGTCAGGGAACTGCTGAAGGGGAATTGGTTCTGAATACAGGCTGGGGTGAGACCAGTACAAATCTGGAACCTTGGAGCTGCTTTCCTGGGGCTCCTTGAAGCTGCCCTGATGAGGACAGCACAGGTGTAGCCTAGGAAGGGGCTCAGTGAGCAGGGTCACTAAGTACAGGTATGGGGATTGTAGGGGTATGGGATCTTGAAGCCAAATATGTAGTTATAATTAATGCTTTTTTTTTTTTTAAACTCAGTCATTGTTCAGCATCACAATCACCTTTTTTATTTTTACTTTTTATTTTACATGTTTTGGGGGGAGAGATTGGCCCTGTGCTAACATCTGTTGCCAATCTTCCTCTTGTTCTTTTTTCCCCCCCCCCATAGCCCCAGTACATAGTTGTGTATCATAGTTGTAGAGTTGTAGCTTTTCTTTGTGGGACGCCGCCTCAGCATGGCTTGATGAGCGGTGAGTAGGTCCATGCCCAGGATTCGAACCGGTGAACCTCAGGCTGCCGAAGCAGAATGTGTGGACTTAACCACTGTGCCACTGGGCCAGTGCCGATAATTAGTGCTTTTAAAAAGCTAAATTACCTGCTGAACATAGAAGCCTCTACAGGCACCAAAGCAAGGGAGTTTGGATGCCCCTTTCTTTTCCGGATGTCTTCCAGCTGCTCTGTTATGACTTTCTTTCCTTCTCATGGGAGCCTTTTGAGGGTCTTGTGGGGGTGAGGATTAAGAGAGAGAAGAACACAGAAATAAGAATGAGAATAGATTCAAGGCCCCTCTGTCTGCTCCCTTTAACCTTTAAAGTATACCTAGAGTATCTTTAGAGATGCCCTCAAAGCTTCAGACATTTCACTCCCACTGTGGCTTTTTTTTTTTTTTAATTGTAAAGAATGATTAGTGGGTTTATTTGAGAATTTCTCCTTGGCCTAGGGCAAATTTATCCATTGAAAGGAAAGAGAATGCACCAGTTAAACTTTCGTATTCTTACAAGCAAAAGCGTTATCACTCCTGCTCTGCATTCAGAGTCATCTTTGGTTGGACAGTCTGGGTCTGTTTACAGCTCTCACACTATCTTGACTGTGGCTGGGGCCCGCTCTCTCTTTTTCTCTGTACAGAACATTTCCCAATTCTTGTAGCACCATGTAGATAAGGCTGAAATATTTCATAAGACTTTATAGCAAAGGCAGGGGAACACATCAAAGGAGGTGAGCATGGAGAACAGCCACGAGATCATTTCTCACATGAGATCTGATTTAGTCGTCTTCAGCTTTGCTTTCTCTCTGGCTCCTGGCTTGCCTCAAATCAACAAAAGCCATCTTCTCTACCACTCAGGAGAACCTCCAAGCATATGTAGACTCTAAATTTCAAACCTGAAAGAGAAGACTTCATGATTGACACTGGGAATGCTGGCAAATGGGTGTGGCGTATGTCTTCCACAGAAATCATATCTAACAGTATAGGCTCTATGAGACAGTCATATCTAGCTGTATCCCAATAGCCTAATATCCTTGCTGGAGATGAGCATGTGGTAAATGGGTTGGGTATCTGTCATAAGCTTTTTATATAATGAATCTGCATATTAGACTTATGTACATTTTATGACTTTTAAAATAAGGGGTACAGTGTTTTATAATTAGAAGAACAATGGGCTAGAACTAGTAGACCTGGGTTCTAGTCTGATTTGCCAGTAAACAGTCTTGTCTCTTTGAGAATGTCATTCCATCTTTCTATAGTTTTGTTGAGAGATTTGGATATCATTAGTCTGTAATTTTATGATTTTGACTATAATTGGGTTATTTTTTTTATTTTATTTTTTCCCCCCAAAGCCCCAGTAGATAGTTGTATGTCATAGCTGCACATCCTTCTAGTTGCTGTATGTGGGACTCGGCCTCAGGATGGACGGAGAAGTGGTGCCTCGATGCGCACCCGGGATCCGAACCCTGGCCACCAGCATTGCAGCGCGTGCACTTAACCACCAAGCCACAGGGCCGGCCCTAATTGGGTTATTTTAAATGATTATAAAATTTGTGCTTGAATCTTTCTCTCTGTGATATATTAGTGTTTTTTTTTTTGTGAGGAAGATTAGCCCTGAGCTAACATCCGTGCTAATCCTCCTCTCTTTGCTGAGGAAGACCGGCTCTGAGCTAACATCTATTGCCAATCCTCCCCCTTTTTTTCCCCCAAAGCCACAGTAGATAGTTGTATGTCATAGTGGCACATCCTTCTAGTTGCTGTATGTGGGACACGGCCTCAGCATGGCCGGAGAAGCGGTGCGTCGGTGTGCGCCTGGGATCCGAACCCGGGCCGCCAGTAGCGGAGCGCGCGCACTTAACCGCTAAGCCACGGGGCCGGCCCTATTAGTCTTTTTTAATATGATGCTGAGATATCAGTGAGGAATAAAGGCCCGATTATTGTTCCGATGAGAAAATATGATGCATTTTATAATGATATACTTTATAGGACAGGTTCTCCATTATGGTGACAGGTGGAACCTGCTTATATTTAAAAGGGGCCATGGGAGCTTACTTTACCTTTTTTATAAGGTAAATATTTACCTCTTTATTTATCACATGTAAATTTAGATGTTCTTAAACAATTTAATTGCATGTAGTTAAATCTATATTTAGATTCCATGTTTTATAGTTTTATTTCTTTCAAGTATTTGACATTTCATCTTTAACATTTGAAGTTGAACTAAAAGAGCAAAAGCACCATATGTTAAAGTACCTTAAGTTATTTAGTACTCTTAGTTAAGGTAGACCGATGTTTTCTTTCTACTTATGTGTAACCTATTTTTCTTCCAGAGTGAAAAGCTTTTGTTATATGATACAGTGCAGAGTGAACTGGAGGAGAAGATAAGGAGGCTGGAGGAGGACAGGCACAGCATTGATATCACCTCAGGTGACGGCGGCGATGGGATCGGGATGGTTAATTAAGTGACGCTGAACCTTTGGTTTACTGTAGTGTCTCATGATGTCTGAGTCTCCTAATATCAGTGTCTGTAAATGAGGTGTCCTCATGAGAGGGAAAGGGGGAGACTTCTGAAGAATTTGACATGATTGTGATTGTTGCTTTGATTTGAACTCAGACTTCAGGAAGACATAGAAAATGGAGCACGTGAAAAGGGACAAAATTGAAGTGTGACAGGAAGTATAGGAATAAGAATAGTAAGAATATTATTATAATAGAGGAATAGTATTAGAAGGCAGTAAGAATAGCATTGGAACAGAGCTACAGTGTATGTTCTCTCCTCTGAGTCTTGAAAGACTGTCGTGTGGAAGGAGTAGTAGAAACCGTTTCTCTCTGGTACCACGCAAACCAGGACAAATGGATAGAAGTTTCAAGGAGGCCGGTTTTTGTCTCAGAAAAAGGAAAAAACTTATTAATAATTAGGCCAATCAAATGTGAACTTGGCTTTTTCAGAGGTGTTGTGGAAGGGCTTTCTACACTGGGTGGAAGATTTACTGGGTTATCCCACGGTTCTTGCATATGTATTCTTTTACTGTTCTACTTCTTTAGCATAGAGTAGGCCTGGTGGAGTCAGGCAAGCTGAGCTCTAATGCCACTGCTCCATCACCTACCAGTTGGGTGACTGTGGGTAACAGTTATTTTAGCTTTTCTAAATCAGTTTCTTTGTCTGTAAAATTGAAATAGTAAGAATCCCTGCCTCAGAGATAGCTTTGAGGATTAGATGAGACAATGCATGTAATGTATATTTAACAAAGTGCCTGACACATGTTCATCAGTTGTTAGTTGTTAAGTGCCAAGTTGATTTTTATTTTAATAAAGACAGAGGAAAAGTCCTAACTCTATAGCTGCTCATGAAATTATATAGTCATATGTGTATGTACATAGCCACCAATGAAATTTTGCTACCAGGAAATTATATAGCCTTTTTTCAACCCCTTTCATCTCCAGAAATCAGCTAATACTTGATTTTTATTTACTTGCCAGAGCTGTGGAATGATGAGCTCCAGTCAAGAAAAAAGAGGAAGGATCCTTTCAGTCCTGACAAGAAGAAGCCAGTTGTGGTTTCAGATATCCTTTCCTAAATTTTCTTGGTTTTTTTTTTTGGCCTTCATGTACATTTTTGCATTGTGCATACCTTTGCACCTTTTATTAGTACACATTGACTTTATTTGCATGATCCTTTAATAAGCAAAAGATGATTTATAAAACTGAAGGCAGAAGGATAAAATTGAGATTAAGAGGGGTGGGGAAGAATAGAAATTTAGTCGCAATCTCAACTTTAACAATTATTATGGCCTTGTAGTTCACAAGGGCTTTGATGTGAAACAGCTGTTTAGTATATAGCATGATTGTTTAATTCTCATGTGTATTCTTTAACATTTTTAATGTTTCTGAAATTGGAGTGTCTTTAAATTAAATTAATATGTGCATTCAATCTTGGCATTCCCTATGGTGTCCCCCTCCACTCAAAACAGTGGTTAGGTTGGTGGTGTATCTTACAGTCAATGATATCATAGGATTAAGAGAATATGGTTATAGCATCTGAAGTATTGAAATGTATTTTATCCTAGTACTGAGTTTTTTGAAGAATAATTTGAAATCAGAATTCTGTATGCCAGAGGATTATGGCCAGAAATCATTGCTCCATTCTCTGAAAAACAGAAGTTTGGAAATACAATTCAAAGCGAGAAATTCTTATAGCTAAATTGACCTTGACTTTTCAACGTCCATATATAGTTTATATGCTACAAGATCTTGATATTCTTGAAGACTGGACAACAATTAGGAAGGTATGATTAAAGAACAATAGAATATAAGTATATTTTTATAGCCTACTTTTAAGGTTCTGTGGTTTTTTACTAATACATCAAAATACGATTATTGTAAATATGTTTTACTTTGCAGCAATCTCTCTAAGGCAGTTAATACTAATACAAATAACTGGATTGCAAGAATCTTTTAAGAGAGACACGTCAGCAGCTTGATTGTATTTTTTCTTGTAATAACGCAATTAGTAATTTATGCAAAAGTACAGAAATGCATTTATTTAGGTTGCCCAAAAATAATAATTAATAACCATTCTGTGCCTAGTCCTTAGCCTAGTCCTGGCTTACAGAAGGCACTCAATATTTGCTGAGTGAACAAAAGTGAATGTTTGAACCCTTATTGTATGTCTTGTATTCTGTCATTAAACATTCAAGCGTTATAGGATTTTCTGTTTGTTTGAAAGTGGAGACTTGTTTTCTTTATTAAATTTTTCAATTTTTAGAAACTTCTTGATTGAGAGTTAGAGATTATTTCAAGTATTGATAACACTTCTAGGAGAAATTGTTGTTCTTTTTTTTTTTTTTTTTGTGAGGAAGATCAGCCCTGAGCTAACATCCATGCCAATCCTCCTCTTTTTGCTGAGGAAGACCCGCTCTGAGCTAACATCTATTGCCAATCCTCCTCCTTTTTTTCCCCAAAGCCCTGATAGATAGTTGTATGTCTTAGTTGCACATCCTTCTAGTTGCTGTATGTGGGACGCGGCCTCAGCATGGCTGGAGAAGCGGTGCGTTGGTGCGCGCCCGGGATCCGAACCCAGGCCACCAGCAGTGGAGTGCGTGCACTTAACCGCTAAGCCACGGGGCCAGCCCGAAATTGTTATTCTTTATATATATTCCTTATATATATTTCTTAGACATTAACAATTTATTGGAGCAGCTAAAGATTATATTTTACTGTTTGTTATTGAGGTCGCCAGTAGTGTTGTATATATTAAATAGATACCAAAGTATACTTTTAGTCTATGAACTCAGACAACGTCTTTCTTCCTCTTTTTTTTATTAAGGCAATGGCTACATTGGGTCCACACAGAGTAAAAACAGAACGTAAGTCATTTAGTCTGAGTTTAGAAATCTTCTCTATGGAGGCTTGTTGAATCAGGGTTGTTAAGTCACCTACATACTAAAGAGCTCCCCATCAGTGGTTTCATTTCATCGGTAAACACTATATCTGAAATTATGATATTTTAAATCCTACTTAAAATTGGCACTAGTAATTGATAATGTACCTGCTTCCCCTCCTGGCACTTGTCTAGTTAATGGATGATTTATTATACATTGTTTAGCTTTGTTTAGTACTTATATTAAAAACTTAGTGAATTATATAAAAAAGTAAGAATTCAATTCTCTTTTTTCTATTAAATTTAAGTTTGTTATCTAAGAAGTATTTTTAGTGTTTTTTCACATATATGCATGGATTGGTGTTAATTCTTGATGTTCTGCACTTTAGTTCTTCTGACAATATCTTATTAATATAACAGTTTTTGAACTGATCCCTTTAGCACCTGTGAAACTGGAAAAACATCTACACAGTGCTAGATCTGAAGAGGGAAGATTGTATTATGATGGTGAATGGTATATACGTGGACAAACGATATGTATTGATAAAAAGGATGAATGTCCTACAAGGTAACAAGCCTTTTTCATTTCAGTGTTGCTCAGTATTAGAGTTTGCAGTGTTGTCAGTAAATATTTGCTGCCTCCATAGTGCATCATTAGTTGCCTGTGGATCTTTTTTTTTCTCTTGACATATGATTTGATTAGCATGTGGGTACATCAGTGTTAATATTTATACGCCAGAGTTACATATTAAGTTCATGAACGCAGCATTAACACGAGTGGAAATGTGGGAATTATTTAGCCAGGAAAGTGATCCTGTTTGTTAATTCTTATAGTAGATGAATTGTTATGATCCTAATATTATGACCTTTAAACCAGGCCATTATGAATTTTTGGTGGGCCTATTAATATTAACCTTTAACTTTTTTGGGTGTGTTACAGTATTTTGGATAAAAAGAATTTGTGTCAATTAGAATAGGAAAGGAATGGAAAATTAATGAAAACTTTAGGAGGAATAGTAATTAAAGTATAACTTGAAAGCTGAAAATTGCCTTTTAAAAGACCCAGTCTGTCTAGGCTTAAATATTATGTATATAGCCTTCTAGGTTTTCTCTGGTTGTGGCTTTTGGAAAATGTGAATGCTAATCACTGCTTCTGTTCCCTCAGTAGTTTAGGATGTAATTCTCAGAGTAGTAACCTTCTACAGTAAGAAAACATCTTTTTCTAGGTATCAGTGGTAAATAAAGTGTTTGCATTTAGTATAGAATACTTATTTTCCAAATACAGTGGTTTTAATCAGATTGTGATTTCATCTTTAGATTTTTAGGATACCAGGAACGTTGTGCACAGTAACTTTTCTCATGAGAAGCCCATTGAGCTAATCACTAGGTTATATATGGTACTCCTGGATTCTTTGCTTTATCTTATTGCTTTTGAGACATTTTACTTGCTACTTAGCATAAATGTGGTTAAAAAAGAGATGAAATAGTATTAAAGAGGATTAAACACAAATCTAGTTTTAAAAAGATTTCAACATAAAGATTAGTAGTGTCTAAAATAATTCATAAGTACCATGGATGGTTTGACCCTGGGAATTAGGGATTGGTATTTGAAAGATTTCCTACAGCCTGGGCTGATATGAGTTGGAGGTGTCATACTGTATAAGTAGTGGTTTTAGCTCTACTCTGTCTTTTTTGGGGGGTGTGGTGGGGATGGAGTAGGAACAATGTGCATTAATAGTTCTAATAGTAAATATTACCAACTCTATTAGAAAAGAAAGGAGATTATCCATTAAGTGTTGCTGACTGTGATATTTTTAACAACGTGCCCTGCTGTTGGTGCAGCATTCTGGTAAACGACAGTTACATACCTGAATCTACTCTTGTGGTCCAGCTATTTTGGTTTTATAGCTGGTACTCTAAAATGAGCGGAGGAGGCATATTGTAATTCATTCATTCATTCCTTTTTTTTTTTCCTTTTTAGTGCCGTAATTACAACAATTAACCATGATGAAGTTTGGTTTAAGAGGCCTGATGGAAGCAAATCTAAGCTTTACATTTCACAGCTACAGAAAGGAAAATATTCAATTAAACATTCATAATCATGATTTAAGTGTTATCTAAAGCTACCTTTTTAGTGTTACCGAGTGTGATGTGCCATGGGAGTAAAAGACGTATTCAATAACTTAATATTCTCGTTGACTCGTGAGAGACTGTGTATTTGTAGGTAGTGCTCTAAGTAGACCTCATGTTGATATGTTATTATGAGACAGTAATAAAAGTTTAATCATGATTATTGCATTTATTTGCCTTTTAGGTCCAATGACCAATAGGTATATATGGTAGGGGTTTCTTACTGAACTTTTTTTTGTTTTTTAAAAACATTATGCAAATCTGTCTTGTCTTTAGTGAACTCTGTTGCTAAATGGCTGCATTTGTCTGCAATTTCTTTGATTTTCCATATCTTTGTCACTCATCGTGTTTGTAAATAAGCCTGATAAAATGTTTCCTATAAATGGTTTGTACTAGTACATTCGTGTTAAATCAGAACAGAAATTTAAACATATATACGTGAGTATGTACATTCGGCATCATCAGCTTGTTTAGAACTGATGGCCTTACTCTACAATCTTGTTTTACCCCAAATTAAGCTCTTGGGTTTGAAAGCTAAAAGGAGCACTTTTTGTAGACTAGCAGCTTCCCTCTCCTCTTCCTTGACTGTACGGTGTTGACCTATCTTTACAAATTACACTGAGTGTTAATTAGTAATATTAGTGTCAAGTAATAACATGCTTCTACCTGTTTCCCGTGAGCCTTCGGAGGGCAGGTTTTTATGCCTGGTATTTATGATGCGGTAGTAAGTGGTGGGCAGTAACTGACAGTATTGTGGTGCTTGCTATACATGTCTGATCTTTTGAAACAGATTTTTAGCAAGCATTTTCTAGAGGTAAAACTAGGTTCTTATCCTAATTTTATTCCCTAGGGCAAGATAGACAGGGATAGTGTCCTTGAATCTATTCCCAGATCTTTGGTGTTTCTACACTTTAAGGCCACTTAGTGCAATTTAGGAATCATTGGCCTCTCTTCCCTTAGCCACATTCAAAATTAACTTCTAAAACCTCAGGAACAGTACGAAGAATCGAAACCCTCACTATGGCAGCACAATTGGCTGTAGTATCTATTAGGGGACAACCAAATCAAGTATTCCTGGTGGTCTTGTGCACTTTAATTTCTGTTCTAGTGAGACTTAAGAGGATGAGGAAGAGATCTACTTATTAACACTTAGGGCAGGAATATCTGCATTATTCCGTTTGTTTTCTTACTATTTTACCTCTGCAAACATTTTTCTGTGCAGATCACTACTTCACAGTTGCCAAATGTTAAAATATTTGACTTCTGACATTCGTTATCAGCAAAGTTATGTACGTTGTTCTATTTCTAATTAACCTTAGCAAATGTACATAATGTCATAATCCAATAGTATTTGACAGTACTTATGTATACAATGTTTCATAAGCATTTTTAATAAGATTTGTATTTTTAAATTTAGTATATAATAAAAAGATGTGTTTGAGTGTCATTTGTAGTGTCTTAAATTACTTGTGCATAAGTTCTTTTGTTATTTATAACCTGTCCACTTCTAAGGAGGATTTGAGCCAATTTACATTAATGGTATGGAGTGTTGGAGTGTTGAACAAATGTTTCTGCTTCCCTAAAGCACAATTCAACCTCTATTGGGGTATATCTAGATATTCAAGATGGCTAAGTTATACTTAATTTAAAAATATGTATAATTGTTATACTTCAATAAAAATATATTGTATATGTTCTGAAATTCTAAATAGACAATCTTTATTTTACAAACTATGATTTAGTACACTTTTAAAACTTTAATATTTATATCAGATACAACGATTATATAATATTTATATTGATTCAAGTAAGCATATGCTCATCTAGATTTAAAGTACTGTAAAATATATTTTGTTATTGGCAGTTTGCCGTTAGACTTCTGGTCAGAAGGTTTAGTTTAGGAGAATTGCTGTGAAATGTAATGTAGCAGCCGCTGCTGCTGCTATCATATTTTTGATCAGCTGCTGTCTTAGGATCAATTTATGGGCCTTCCCTGTCACAGCGCCCAGTATTTCATGTTCAGCCCACCCTTCCTGCCATTTCCCATTAAAAAGAAAAGAATGCAATCGTCACTAATCCGGTTCATCACTAACATTAACAGACATTGATGGCACACTCCTCATTCTGTCCCTTTCTCTCATTGGCCGCCTGGGCACTGAGTACTTTTCTTCAGAGCATTCCTCATGTAACAGTTGTTCTGATATCGTATTGTTACTCAGAACTCCAACACCACTGACAGAACAGTGTAGACCTCACTGATAATTATTTAGAAAGAAGAACAGAGACATTGGCTGTATTTCTAAGATTTTGTTTTTGGACCCAGTAAGTCCAATACACTAAAACTGAACCAAAATGAATTTATAAGATAAGGAAAATGGATGTAGGATCAATGATTATACCAGTTAGGATTTATGTAGTTTCTTGCCAAATTGGAATATAAACTGTTTTAATTGCTAAAGATAAGGAAATCTAAAATATTAAAAAAACCTGGAAGCTCAGAATGGGGTTAGAGAAAATGCATGTTCCTCGTGTTGTCTTTGCGGGTGACCTACAGGAATTGTGGCTGGCTCGCCAGGTGGGATTGATGGAGGCAGTGTCCCGCACTGGTCACTGTGGCCCAGAGTCTGACCCTTTACTTTGTAGGCCCAGAGACTTGAACTTTACATGTCCTGTTATGGGCTGAATTGTGTCCCCTGAAATTCATATGTTGAAGCCATTACCCCAGTACCTCAGAATGTGACTCTATTTGGAGACAGGGCCTTTAAAGAGGTGATTAAGTTAACATGAGGCTTGGGCCCTAATCCAATCTGACCAATGTCCTTATAAGAGGAGGAAATTTGACACCAGATGTGTGCACACAGAGGAAAGACCAGGTGAGGACACGGTGAGAAGGCAGCCATCTGCAGAAATCGAACCTGCCAACACCTTGATCCTGGACTTGTAGCATCCAGAACTGTGAGAAAATAAATCTCTGTAGTCTGAGCCACCCAGTGTGTGGTATTTTGTTATGGCAGCCCTAGCAAACTAATACATGCCAGAGGTGACAGCTCTGGAGACAGACTGGCCAATTCACAGTGGACTGAGGTGACAGATGAGTATCAATTTAATAATTTACATTGGGAAGTGTAACAAGGAGACCTGACTCCTCAAGTCAACTAATTGGCACACTCTTTCCTTCTAGGAAAATCTATGTGAAAGCAAACCTGTAATCAGAAGATTTGTTTTGGTGAAATTTCAGGGAGTAACCAGTCCTCCAGTATATAGTCAACAAAAAAGTCACTATGTAATATTTTTCCTATTTAAAACAAAATAGGTGACGGCCTGGTGGCGCAAGTGGTTAAGTGCGCGCGCTCTGCTGTGGCGGCCCTGGGGTTAGCAGGTTTGGATCCCGGGTGTGCACCGACACACTGCTTGGCAAGCTATGCTGTGGCGGCGTCCCATATAAAGTGGAGGAAGATGGGCACGGATGTTAGCCCAGGGCCAGTCTTCCTTAGCAAAAAAAAAAAAAAAAAAAGAGGATTGGCAGATGTTAGCACAGGGCTGATCTCCTCACAAAAAAATAAAAATAACAATAAGTAAATGAACATAAATGTAAGAATTCTGATATGTATACTCTTTATAAATTTACCACGTGTTGGGAATTTCTGGTCATGATGTTTTTCTCAAGATGTGAGAGGCAAAATACTGTGGCAGAACTTATATTTTGAGTGTTCTAAAACTGAGTTGATTATCTCAAGTTGCTAATCTTTCTGAGAAATGTATCTGTTACATCTATCTATCTATCTATCCATCTGATCCATCTGTCTAAACTAGAAAGCAAGTATGAGTCTAAAATTTCCTTGCTTCTAAACTTGAAGCTAACGTATTTTCTTTCAAAGACACATTTTACTATTAAAGGAAGATTGGGGGAAGATGTAGTAACAGTCTTGAAAGTTCATTTTTCCTTTCCTTTTCTGTTTTCCTGTATCTAATGTAGGTTTGAGGTGGGGGAGCTTGCCAGGAGACTTTCACTCTCTTGAAGAGAGAAGTGCCATAATTCTAGTCCAGACGCGGGCCACATGGCAGCATTGCGTCTCTGCTAGTAGAGATTACAATTTATGTTAAACTGCTTAGAAACCCATATCCTTAAGCAGAGGTTAAACGACATCTGCTGTTGAAAGAAATATCATATTTCACTGATTATTGAAAGAATTTGAAAATGGCATTGTAAATGGCAAAGAGAGTAAAATGCTTTCACTTTAATGATAAATTTATGATTTCAGTTTATTATGTTTAAGTACATCTATGGGTAATTGCACTTATTAAGGAAGAGTGATTTTTTTTAAAGGCTTCAGGCACTATTTAAATTATTCATCGAACACAGCAGTTTTTGATTTGAGGCTTACACTCCACGGTGTTAACTTGTATTTTATCAATATACGTATATATGTGTATATAATAGCGCTATCCACACACAATGGCCCACTTGGTTTGGGCCTTTCCTACATGCACTTGAGCCGCGCCCTCTCTCATGCCAAGGGTTCTGCTGGGGGTCTGGGCATATAGGAAGGGGAGCACAAGGGTTGTGTCCAGTCATCACCCTCCTCCTCCTTTAGAGCTCTCCTCTCCCTCCTCCTGGTGTGGCTGCTCCAGGGAGATGCCAGCGCCGGGCATGCCCAAGCCCACTCTCTGGGCAAGGCTGCCAAGGCGGGAGGAGACCCGGCAAGGAGAAGCTGCTGCTCCAGCCACTGTCTGCGAGATGCCTCCTGTACTCTCTCCCGGTTCTCTGGACTGTCTCTTTTCCTCCCTCCATTTTGAACTTATAAGATTCTGTAAGATTCTATGCCCTATATTGGTTGTTTTTCTGCCAGGTAAATAAAATAGGGCATAGCAGGTCCTATTATTTACACCAAAGGAATAGTGTCTATACGCTCCTGCACTTCTCTTTTTCTTTCTTTTTTAACATAATATATTTTGGTGATCCTTCCATATCAGCCCCCAGAGATCTACCTCATTCTTTCTAATGACAAGACGGTGTTCACTTACTGGAGTAACCACGTGGAATCCCGTGGTGTGGAATACCAGCACAATATGGTGGATGTTCAGTGGTTTCTTCCCTCCCTCTCTTCTCCCCTCCTTCTCTTTCTTCCTTCTTAGCAAACAAGGCTGAAGTGAATACTCTTGGACATGTATCTTTGACCACGGGAAAGAGTATATTTGCAGCATAAATTTCAAATGGAATTGCTTGGTCAAATGGTAGAGGAATTTTATATTTTATTAGATAATGCCAAATTTCCCTGCAAATGAATTGTACCAGTTTACACCTCCACTAACAGTGTATGAGGATGCCATTTCTCCTTATCATCAGAAACACTGATTCTGATGATAATTAATTTTCAAGGTCATTCTTCTACCTTCCCGTCAATTGTTTGTTTTCCTTCAGGCTGCATGCTAGGCCCTCATTCAAGTCCTTTTTGAAGTTTCCACTCACTTCGTTCACTTCAGCTACCACCCGTGTCCTGACATTCCCAAAGCTAAACCCCTGCCCTCACCCCAGTTACATACTGCAAGGTGCTGCTGGGCATTTCCATCTGCTCTTCACACTTTTAAACTTAACACTTACAAACCCAAATATTATCTCCCCTTCACATCCCTCCCCCAACTACACATGTACCCCTGTTGTGTTCCCACCCTTGATTCATGCTACCATCCTCCCAAGTTCAGACCTTGGAGAGGCCGTGGCAGGTGATTAAACTCAAGGACTTTGGAGCAAGACTAACTGGGTGTGAACTCTGCTGCTTATCAGCATATGGACGTGGGCAATTTCTTAACTCTGTGTGCCTAAGACATCCCCATCTGAAAATGGAAATAACAACACTAAATACTTTATAGGGTTGTGGTAAGGATTTAATGAATTACTATACCTCATGTGCTTAGAACAGGGCCTGTTACATGATAAATCCTATGTAAGGGCTTTTTATATATTTTGACTCCCCATATCTATTTAATTATCAAGTCCTATAGATTTTAACTCCAAAATATTTCCTGAAATCATCCTCTTTCCTCCAGTCCCCCTGAGGCTGCCCTAGTTCAAGCCTCGAGTATATTTTCCTGGGATGATTGTGATGGCCTAACTGGTCTCTTTGCTTCTTGCCTTTTCCCTCTATAGCAAATGTTATATTTCTAAAACTCGGAACTGATTTTTTTTTGGTGAGGAAGATTGGCCATTAGCTAACATCTGTTGCCAATCTTCCTCTTTTTGCTGAGGAAGATTAGCCCTGAGCTAACATCTGTGCCCATCTTCTTCTGTTTTGTATATGGGACGCCGCCACAGCATGACTTGGTGAGCAGTGTGTAGGTCCACACCTGGGATCCGAACACGTGAACCCCTGGCCGCCAAAGCGGAGCGTGTAAACTTAACCACTATGCCACCAGGCTGGCCCCCAGAACTGATTTTTTTACTCTCTG